GGTGCCCAAAGACCCTCGAACCGCTCCAGCCACTCGCTGCAGCCGGGGGCAGCTCGATCTCACCTAATGCTCATCATAACCCTAAGGGGTAGGAGTACCTTTTCCCATTTACAGATGAGAAAACTGAGGCCCAGGTTAAGGTGCTTGTAAAAGACCACGCGGTAAAGGTGGTCTGAACAAGGATCTGAACCCTTGTTTTTAAAGCAAAGCCTGCGGATTACTCCCTGTACTGCACTCTCTGTAGGACAGAGGCTGAGGGTCTGCCCCTCACACTGTACTCTGGGGAAGCAGACCCAGGGAGGCATGTGGGCACTGTCAAAAGAGGACTAGATTAGCAGAGTAAAATCTGATCAAAGCTGTCCACCTTGTATTTCCGCTCAACTTTTTATTATGGAAAACTTGACAGAGAAAACTTAAAAAAATACTATGATGTAGTTGAATAATATAATGACTCATATACTTATCATGTAGATTTCAAAACTTGCTAACATTTTGCCATATTTGCTTTGTCCAGTGTGTATATTTTTTATGAACCATTTGAAAGTTGTAGACATCACGAGATTTGACTCCTGACACTAAATACTGAGCACTTAGCTCTTAAAAATAAGGCCCTTCTCCTACATGACCACTGAATCACTACAGCTAAGAAAACTAATAATTTTTGAACATCCACTCCATATTCAGATTTCCCCAATCATCCCAAAAATATCTTTAATAATTTCTTTTCCTGATTAGGAAACAATCAAGATTCAGCACATTTGGCTCTTTTAAGCTCATTCTATTTCAGTAACTTTTTTTTATGACATTGATATTTTGAAGAGATCAGGCCATTTACTTTGTAGGCTGGCCCCAGATCCCATGTTATGATTTTGTCCGACTGTTTCTAGTATCATTTACCTTGTTCTTTTTCCCAAAAGTTTTCCAAATTTTTGAATTTCTTGTCAAGCAGAAGTTAAAGCTTGATTAGATTCGTGACCAGAATTTTAAAACACTTCATACTGAAGTGTAATACACATACCCCAAACGGCGTATACTGTAAGTGCATGAGATTGATGAATTTCACAAACTGAACATACTCAGGTCAAGAAGAACATTACCAGCACCCCAGAGGCCCCCCTGATGCTCTATTCCATTCACTCACCCTCACACCCCAAGACTGAACATCCTGACTCTTCTCATTTCAGGATTAGACATTAATCCTGACTTCTTTTGTGTGTGTGTGTATATATATATTTTTTTAATTTCTGCGTGGATTACATCATGTTCTCATGTTCACCACCCAAATACTAATTACAACCCATCACCACCCACATATGCCTAATTATCCCTTTCGCCCTCCTCCTTCCCCCCTTCCCCTCTGGTAACCACCAATCCAATCTCTGTCTCTATGTGTTTGTTTGTTGTTATTATCTACTACTTAATGAGTGAGATCATACGGTATTTGACCTTCTCCCTCTGGCTTATTTCACTTTGCATAATACCCTCAATGTCCATCCATGTTGTCACAAATGGCTGGATTTCATCATTTCTT